TATACATTCTTTGCTGCATCCAGAACTGACTGCTTTGTAGGGTGAAAGGAACTATGATTAAGAGAGGAGGTTAACTTTAAGCAGTCACCAGGCATGGGTAAATATTCGTCCATTAACATGACAACGACCAAAACCACAATTTGTATTGTTTTAAAACTTCTTACAGAAAAGAAAACACAATGTAACTGACTGTTCTATGCAAGGCTTTGATTTTTGTATGATAGAAAATCTCTGGAGTTAAAGTATTTGAAGTAATTTCCGAGAAAAATATGTATTGGTTTATTATTGGGTAAACTTCTGTTTCAAAGTTAAGCCATCATAAACCTTGTTAATGTGGGAATTGACAGTATTTGTTTAACACTATTCGAGGAATTGTTGAGTGGTGGCTTTACTTCATCTGTCTGTCTCTATAGTATATCATATAATTGAGTGTGTTGAGCAGCAGCCAGTATTTCAAAGTGTTGTTTTGTGTGAATCTGCATCTGCTGCTGCAACACTAAGCCCAGAAGAATTTCTCTGTTGGTTTTTCAGACAAGTTTCCACTCGCAGACAGTGAGCTGGAGAGTCTGAGGTCTGCAGCTGCAGCAGCTGCTGCTACTGCTGGAAGGCCTGGCTGAAGGCTACGTACTGTACACACTCACCAGCCAATCCATGAGCTACAACTGTTTACCTGTCTGTTAATGCAAATGTTAAATTAGCCAAAAGCATTGTCAATATGACCTATTGAATTCAAACAAAGTATGAAAATAAAGTCAAATGATTTTTTTCTGACTTTAAACATGAAATACTGCAGATTTTAGTGCCAGAAAGGATCCACAGCATTCATGGATGACCAGTCTTTGGTTATTTTATGTGTCCTATAATCATTCTAAAGGTTTACAACATATAGTCTAAAAAGTAAAATATCCTCCAAGTGGCTTACTATTCTATACGTGTGCTGTGATACAATCATGTGACTGTACAAAAACTTAAGCACAAGTTGATCTAGGACTAGAAAAATTGAGTGCATGCAACAGACATAATAATTTGATTTGACCCATTTTTAGATGTTATTTATTATGACATTTTTTCTCCAAACATGGCACAATTAAAAATACAATTGAGCAATTGTTGCTTTATAACAACACTTTGTAATGTTAGGAAAAAGTTTGAAAAACAGATTAAAGTATCATTGTTGGAAGAATTAAGTTGATATTATTTTATTTTATATTTATAGTATCTTTTGTACCAACAGTTTATTATTAATTCATTATAGGAGCATGTTTTTTTCTTCATGCCATTTTGCATCAACATTTTAGTTAATCAGACATTGTTGTCATGTACACCACATTAGTGATTATTATTGATTGACTAGCTTCCCAATGCCAATAAACCTCTAGCTTGCCCCCGATCCTACCCCATCAATGGTGCCCTACCCACTGAGGGAAACCAGCTCCTTAGTTTGAGAACCACAGTATTACCTCTACATGTTTATACAGTGTTATAGGGAATTTGGATCCGTTTCTGGAACTTGGTAAAATGTTAGTTTTGGACTTTCTATAGAAGTGAACTGTACAAGTAAGTCATTGGCGATGTTTGGACTAAAACACAACGTTGAACCAAGTCGTTCGAGCCATTATTATCCCTCAAGTCTTCAAACACTGCAGGGCAAACCGTTGGACACGGGCGTTTGTTTGTTTTTCTATCAGGACAGTTGCCAGTTTTGCTGCGACCGTTAAACTGCCACACACATCCACACACACCCAGCGCCAGAGTGACCGGAAGTAGATGTGACTCAGTTGATGTTTACTCTTCAGCAGCGTCCTTGGAGAAGCTCAGACACCGCGAAAAAATCCAACCAAACCGCGCCGACAAACTCCCCTACACCCACCGTGTGCCTGCGCGCATTCCTCAGGCTACTGGTCCAAGAAAGTAGTGCCTGAGCAACAGGTTTAATGAAGACAAGCGGAGCGCAAATACTATTGTATCTATTATTCATAGAATTTTATTTTACACTGTGTAAGACCAGGATAACATGTTTTCTTTTTCATTGACAGAAAAATCATGCAAATATTCACGAGTCTATTGTGAGTCACCAAAAAA